ACAATATTGATTCTTCCAATCCATGAACACGGTATATTTCTCCATCTGTTTGTGTCCTCTTTGATTTCTTTCATCAGTGTTTTATAGTTTTCTATGTATAGGTCTTTTGTTTCTTTAGGTAAATATATTCCTAACTATTTTATTCTTTTCGTTGCAATGGTGAATGGTATTGTTTCCTTAATTTCTCTTTCTGTTTTCTCATTGTTAGTGTATAGGAACGCAAGGGATTTCTGTGCTATTTTACACATATTAGCTAGTGCTTTATATTAATAGCAAGCCTATGAGGATATTACCATTAGCCTAATCCTGAAGATGAGCAAACAAAAACTCATAGGGGTTAAGTAACTTGTTCAACCACATGTGAGCAGGAAGTCAGGACTCCAAAGAGGGATCCAAACCAATGCTTCCCCCAGTGTGTCTTGTGGCTTCCTCAGTTCCAAGAAATTCCTTGTAATGCATATAATGGTTTAACCATATTCATATTCTCTTCTTCATGGTTATACATATCCAATTTTTTTGCCTTTGGGACCTCCTAGGACTGGTTGCTTACCTTCAGGGCTGGTTCCTTACCTTTAGGGCTGGTTCTCTATTTCCCTATCCTAAATACGCTTACCTATTAGCCTAACTCACAAAAAATTAACTTGAGATATTATGGCATTAGTGAGTCCTAGGGAATATAAACATATGACAAAATTTTGAGTTAGTATAGAGCCAGAATAAGCCAGGAGAGAAGTAAGGCCTGAGGGGTTTTTTGTTTGTTTATTTTGTCTTTTTTTTTTTTTTTTTTTTTTTAAGCAATTGGTACATAGTTTTCCTCAGGCAACTTTTGCCACCTGGTGGTCAAACCACATAAATTTGTGTTCTGAATCCTGGTGCAAAGTAAATGTTTACAGCAATTCCCTAAATCATCATGGCTAAAAATGCTATAATGGACAGTGTATCCTAGAGGCCAAGCAATCTTGAACCCATGGCCTGTGAGGGATTCTACCTGATGTAGGCTGGCCTATGTCAAGGAATTGTTATATTTGGATGGAGATGGGTAGCTGACCCTTGATGCCTCACTGAGGCTATTACATGTAAGGGAAATTTTTGTTGTTGCTAATCTTTTGTTTGTTTGTTTGTTTTTGCATTTTTCCCCTAACTGAGTCACATTTCTGAAGCAGCCACTTTAAATCTCTAAACAAAGCAGAAACTGTTCATACATTTCCTGGACAACCATCTCAGCATCAAATACATAGAAAAGCCTGTTTCTGGTCTTGAAGGGCTAAATACTTATGCTTTTCTCAACCAAACAGTAGATTTCCATCTGTGACTGCTTTTGAACTTGATGGGGCCTATTGGATATTTATGAAAAACCTGAGAGTTGATAACCATGAGGCTATAGGTTTAGATGTGCCCTTTATGCTTGTTGAGTGTTTTTTTAATAAAGTAACTGCTTTGCAGAGGGATCTTGTTATCTCTAAAGTAAAACAGATTAGGAAAGCTGTTTTTCAAAGGGATGAGAATGCATCCATTTCCAGATGTGTCAAAAACTACTGAATCACACTGTCAAAGGATTATGCGGTTGAAGGAAGAAATCAGGAAGAAAGAAAAAAAAATGACTTTTACTCTACTACTAAATAGAGTTCAGATTAGTCTTAGAATGTTCTTTCCTTTGACAAAATATCTGATGCACAGTTTTTTAAAACATATTCTCTAAACTGGAGACTTTTTTTCTATTGGATCCTTAGACACTGGAGGGAATATCAAGTCTCCCGGAAATCTGGCAGCCCATTGAATAGAATAATTTTTATTCCACAGATTGCATATCAATTGCTTCAAGGACACTTGGGACATAATGGTCTATTTAGAGTCATAGTTGGCCTGAGTTTTCTCTTGAGTGTCTGTATTATATAAATATTAAAACTGAATTGAATTTATAGTTTTCTTATAAATCAAAATGGAACATTCATGCTGTCACCCTCACCAGCCCAAGGTGAGATGGAACTAGTAGCAAAAATATAAGTAGCTATGCTCCTCGAGGCAAGTAAAACATTTGGCCTATCTTGCTTAGATGTAACTAGCTACTCCCTCTAGAAGCCCAGATGTGGTTCTCTTTGCCATGCAATGAAAATTTAGATCTTGTGAAAGTGAAAGTTGCTCAGTCATGTCCGACTCTTTGTGAACCCATGGACTGTCCATGGAATTCTCCAAGCCAGAATACTGGAGTGGGTAGCCTTTCCCTTCTCCAGGGGATCTTCCCAATCCAGGGATCGAACCCAGGTCTCCCGCATTGCAGGCGGATTCTTTACCAGCTGAGCTTATGCTTACCCCACAAATAAGCTTTTGTTGTGGGATTTCTTCCACATTTCTGCACTCTCTCTATGGCTCGATATTTATTTCCAGTTTTAATACATGCTGTAGATTTCTCTTAGTCAAAATATATATATATATATATTTACTGAGTTCCTACCATGTATTGGGTGCTCAGAGTATGGTTAGGGAAAATAGAAGTTCTTATTCTCCAGGAATTCACATTTGAGATGGAGAGACACAAATATTGTTAGGCATGGATAAATGCTATGATCAAAAATCAAATAGGATAAGAAGCAGAAGACTCTTGAGGAGGTGACAATTGAACAGCAATATGAATGAAGGCTTTGAAACAGATGACTATCAAAAAGCAAAGCATTCCAGACAGAGAGAAAATCAAGTTCAAAAACTTCAAGATACAACAAGCAAGCCAGTGAGTCTGGAGTGGAATGAGCCAGGGAGAGTGGAAGGAGGTGTGATTGGAAAGTCAAGCTGGAGCCATTTTATATATGACTTCCTAGGGATTAATTTGCTGTTATTCTGAGGGTGATAAAAAGTCAGACTGGCTGTCTTTCAGCAGTATGACAGATATGTTACAAGATTCAAACCCCCCCCTTTATTACTTTGGTCAGATTTGGAATATGCTATGTCCCTGATTTCTTTCTTTATTAGAGATTCACAGTCACAACAGCATATCACAAATTCTGAAACATTCACAGTTAAGTGTCTCTGTTTATCCATGTGAAACTCATACATCATGGAATTCCTCTACATAACATATCTGTTAACTTTAAGATTTGCTGAGACAGGGTGATTCAGAAATCAACAGCATCAGTCTCTTTCTTCTCTCTCCATTTATGGCTGTGTTTTTAGTACTCAAGGCGGTTATCACAGTCCCAGTTATCACATAAGTATACTCTTTGGTCACAGGGAGAGCTAGTGTGTCCATGATAAGGGGCCCTGTGGAATGCAGCTCCCTATTCATTTTATTCATTTAACTAACTTTTAAAAACTCTGTAAATCTGCAGATGCCCATTAAATGGGTCTTAAGTTAATAAATTGTTAATGAATGTGGATAAAGCTTAACAGGATAGTGTCTGGTATTGCTTTTTCTAGTAGGAGGTGCTTTTTTAAGGTGGTTCTCCTTTCCATACATTCCTGCTGTTGTCCTAGTCTGTCATTCATAAGATACAACCCAGAAATTTGAAAAGGCTTTGTGATAGTACCAGCATCATAACAGACAACAGTGTGTGGTGAGCAGTTGACATAGTTTAATCAGTAACTATTTGCAGCTTGCAAGATAAAAGTACATTGTCAGAAGCGAGCCATACAGTCTGAAGGCAGAATATCTAATATATGATTTAGGAATGTATTATATAGGGAGCTGGGTTCTTTTCAAAAGACTTAGTATAACTTTTCTAGGTAGACACTAATTTAGAATTATTGACAAAAACACCTTTTTGGAGGCATGAAACATGCCTTTCAGGAATTACCTTTTCAGCACAGAAACATAGATCACATGGCAACAGAGAGGCACAGCATTGACCAAAGAGAGAACAAAGCCCAAACACAACTGGATGTTGGTGTCTTTGATTTACAGAGCAGACCATGAACAATGAGATCAAAGATGAAGCGGTCACAAATGCTGATCTTCTTGAAAAGGTAGGGAATTATTGCCCTAAAAGTGTAGATGCCAGTAAGATCTGAGAAAACCATGAACTAAAAGAGAGAGAAACTTAGCAGGAAGGAGCTGATACTAGAGGAGAAGGGATTGTTCAGACACCCCCCTCCCTAGCTCGGTTCCAACTGGAGAGAAAGGAGTTAATTTCACTAGCCGCTCAAGCAAAACTTCCAGGCTCCATGCTTCTCTCTAGACAGTGTGGCTTGGCAACGTCACGAACACCTGCTGACCATACAGCTATGTAAAACTAATGCTGTCTTGAAGTGAGTTCAGAAAACCTGCCTATAATTGCTAACAGGACTCAGAAGAGTATAACCTAACAATAAAAATATTTAGATTATGTTGCCCATAAAAAAAAGAGTCAAAGGCATACTTTTTCTGGCAGCAGTTCTCTTAAAATGTTGCCATATGGATTTATACATATGCAGATTTCCCCCAATTAGATGGAGTGCATGCTAGTTAGTTGATGGAGTCCAAGAGGGCTTCATTTGGACTTAAACAAATTAAAGCTGAAATTGTATTCCTCTGATTTTTTTTTTTTTAAGAAACCAAAGAAGATGACTGTAGAAGCCGAGTTAGACGACATAAAGAAAACCCAGCAACGCAATCTAATGGACTGGAGTTTTACTGAACATTTTAAACCAGAAGTTCTGCTTCAGGTATTAATGGGCTATGAGTCTCATCAGATTGGTCTGGGGAGGCTCAGTGTGATTTAGAACAGTTCACTTCTAGGTCACTCTCAGATCTATTTCAGATCAATATTCCCATTTACTTCAGCTATAAAGTGAGTTTTTTCCCAGACTGTGCTATGCATGCCCAAAATAGTTTAAAATATACTTTCTTAAAGGATGTTTTTTTATGAAGTCTCTTAAGAAAAAAAAAAAAGATATGTGCATGACTGCTGCACATGTTTTTTTTTTTTTTAAACATAGTAATAAAAGTAAGATGTTATTGGGAAGCAACCTTATATTTCCCCATATTGCCTGTTAGCTCTCTTCAGTTTTCGCAACATTTCTAAATATTTTCTGATGCAATTAACAATTCAGTGTAAACTGTGATGGCTAACATTTACTGAGCACTTAACATCTGCTGCTGCTGCTGCTAAGTCGCTTCAGTTGTGTCTGACTGTGCAATGTATTACTAGCTTATTTAATCTCTTCTAATCCTATGAAGTAGAAACTATTTAAATAGTAGAAAACTGAGGCACCTGAACCACCAGTAACTTTTGTCCAAGGTCACACTGGAAAGGGTCTCACTGGTTGATGAATGAGAGAAGCAAGATACCAACAAACCCAAGACATCAGACCCAGAACCTGTGCTCTTAACCAACACGCAAAATAACCACTACGCAAAATAACCACTGCGCAAAATAATGAGTAATTCTAAAGCTCTTTTTGTTGGTTTTACATTTTATGCAAAAACTTGTACACTGTTTTCTTTTATCCTTTTAATTTAAATTTTACCTTTATCAAAATTTTACATCCACTTATTTTTTAAAGCCAAAACGTTGTGTAAAGAGTCTTGTGAAAAGTACCAGGTCCCTTCCATACCCATGGAGCTTTTCAGGTGGTTCAGTGGTAACGAATTTGCCTGCCAATGCAGGAGCCAAATCCCTGAGTGGGGAAGATCCCCTGGAGGAAAGAAATGATAACCCACTCTAGTATTCTTGCCTGGAGAAGTCCATGGACAGAGAAGCCTGGCAGGCTACAGTGGATGGGGTCGCAAAGAGACACAACTGAGCATGCACACACCCATGCCATGACACAATTCCCAGAGGTAAAAATCTTCAAGGTATTTACCTGTTTCTTTTGTTACTTAACTCAGTTATTTCTAAATAACAAGATATTTAGTTATCATCATCAACTGACTCCCTCTTGAACAAACAACTTGCCCACCCCCGTGTAAAACACACTGAGACATGCACATACACTCACTCATACACTCCTATACATACATATACACACTCATAAAGTCAAACCTTGTCAGTCTCTGAAACTTTTTACCATATTGTAATTTTTTATTAGATTTCAAGATTTATCATATTTCAGTTAGATAAGTGCTATTCACAGCTGACACAATATGAAAAGGCAAAAAGATAGGACATTGAAAGATGGACTCCCCAGGTCGGTAGGTGCCCAATATGCTATTGGTGATCAGTGGAGAAATAATTCCAGAAAGAATGAAGAGATGGAGCCAAAGCAAAAACAACACCTAGCTGTGGATGTGACAGGTGATGGAAGTAAAGTCCAATGCTGTAAAGACCAATACTGCATAGGAACCTGGAATGTTAGGTCCATGAATCAAGGCAAATTGGAAGTGGCCAAACAGGAGATGGCAAGAGTGAATGTCGACATTCTAGGAATCAGCGAACTAAAATGGACTGGAATGGGTGAATTTAACTCAGATGACCATTATATCTACTACTGTGGGCAGGAATCCCTTAGAAGAAATGGAGTAGCCATCAT